TCATAATAGCATAGTTTTGAGAAAGTGATATCCAGGTAATTACCTGAGGGGATACAGAACAAATGCAAGTTGCTGTCCTGGCTTGACCCTATATGCTCAATAAATTGAAACATCAAGCATATTTATGCCCCGAGGCCTTTGCCTTTTCCTCTTCCCATTGTCTGGAATGTTCTCTTCCTTTATAATAAAACAGCTGTCTTCAGATCTCTCTTCAAATATCACCTTTCAAAAAGTCCTATCCAGAGTACTTGAGCTGAAATAGGATCTCCTTCCCACCATTGCTATTCTCGCAACTTCTTGGCTCTTCTTCAAAGCACACCATCAGGAATGCTGTATATCATTAAGTGATCGATGCAAGCACTGTACACATGAGCCATGTCCCCAGCCTTTTATGCCTTCATTATTTTTCAGATAGGGTCTCACACATTTTGTCCAGTCTGGCCTCGGACCATGATCCACCTACCTTTGCCTTCTGCACAGCTGGAATTAGAAGCATGAGCCACTGTGCCCGGCTCTCATGGCATCTTGAACTTAATATTTCTGAAACTACTGGAATGATCTATCTCTGTACCTTCATTCTCAAACCTGATTTCCCTCACTCTCCTCTTCTGAAATCAGGAATCATGAAGTCTAGAGATGTACACACACACATGCACACACAGACTTCTTTGAGAGATAGATTGCTTGAATGAGATTATGTCGTGCTATTTCTTTTTTCTTTCTTTTTTATCCTACTGCCTTATCTAACCTCCTGTTATGAACTTGTTACACATAAGGCAAGGTCTGTGATTTATACAGCTTTGCATTCTTAATACCTAGTTCCAGAAAATGTTCAATATATTCCTGCCGACTGAAAGAAAGAGGAAATGTTTTCTACACATGTTATCTACTTCTACTCCAGGTAATTTTCATGCTGTTTGTTAATTTCCACAGTTATTTATCTAAGCATATTTTTGCAAACTTTGCTAGCAGGTCATTTTTTTTTTCTCAAGGTTCTAACCTAAGGGACATTTATTGCAGTATATTAATGAAACCACTCCATGTTTCATAAAAACGACTTTCATTTCTCTTCACTTTGGCACTTGGCACACTTGGATTTATGTGGGAAGGAATACTTAATAACAAGGAAAGACCTATTTAGAAGCAGCCGCATAATCATTCAGCAGTAGAGAAAAGAGTGATAAATGGACCATACAATTAGCCGTCATCTGTTTCACATTTATTTTTCAGCACTGAGGTTCAGAAGGTATTCAGGAACAAGCAATAGGCATGCCTTCTCAGGTCCTCCTTGAAAAGAAGAACATAAATAATAAGCCCCAGACACTAAATCTCCCTGTAAGCATATAAAAGGAACACACACGCACACGCATGCACACACGCACACACACACATGATCCATGAGTAGATATTCTTTTCTTGAATAGCATTCAGTTAACATTTTTCTCAAAATAATTAAAATAAACTTAATAGCCACCAATCCAATCTCCATTGGTTTGTACCTTCAATTAGCTTTACCCCACATGTATATCTCTTTGTTTTTGTTGCTTTGCTTTCTAAAATATGAAATTCTTTTTAAGATTAGTGTGTATAAATTGATAAAGTGATAACCCAGAGAATATGCATCTCGAGTGCATTACAAAGCCATGGACTTACATAAACCTTAGAAGTTATTAGATAAAATTCATAAGGGTGTCAAGAGCTGTGGACATGGAGTCATCTCTTTCTGGGACAAGTATTCAGTGTGGCCATGAGTAAGTTACTCCATCTGTCTCTTTTTCCTCCTCTAAGACACTAATAGACACATTAGAATTTTAGTTGACATGGGATCTGCTCAGATAACAACCTTGGCTTTTCTACACATAGAATGTGGTATTTAGAATGTAACTTAAACAGAATACTATATTCCTTTTAATGTTTTCATGCATTGATAGAGGATATCAAATTGATTCCTGTTCCACTAGAATTTATTTTCTGTACACCTCGCTGTCTCAGTTCATCTATGGAGAGACTACACTGTAAGAGATATATTCTGCTCTAAGTCAAGGTTTGTTTAAATCTGTGAGTCAGTCACATTTCCACATATTGTCTTCCCGTGTTGCACAATTTTACTCTTTCATAAGAAGACGGAAAAAGAACCTTACAGAATTGATACACTTGATGTGTCAGTTAACTTTGTGTTACTGTGACAAAATAATGGAGACGACAAACTTGTAAAGAAAAAAAAAGGTTTTTCTGACTCATGGTCCATGGTCCAAAGTCTCTATTTTTGAGCCTGTTGTGAGGAAGCAATTCCTGGTGTGAGCATGTGGTAGAGCAAGCTGTTCACCCTGTGGTAACTGAGAAGTGAAAGAGAAAAGCAGGAAGGAGGTCTGGGAGCAGTGGCACATGACTATAATCACAATTACTTGGGAGGCAGAGATTGGAGGGTCATGTTTTGATGATGTACTGGGCAAAAGTTAGCAAGACCATATCTTATAAACAAATTAAAAGCAAAGGGCTGGGGTGTGACTCAAGTGATATAGCGCCTGCTTAGCAAGCACAGGTCCCTGAGTTCAAACCCCAGTACCACAAAACAAACAAACAAAACAGAAAACAAGAAAGAGGCCAGGATTCAAATGCTCCCTTCAAGGGTACACCCTCAATGACCTCCTTCCTTCCATTAAGCCCCACTTCCTAATGGTTCCACCACCAGTCCCACAGGCTGGTGACCAAGCCTTCAATACAAGGGCTTCTGGGGGCTCTTCACAATCCCTGCTGTAGCATGTAGGTGAATATAAAGAACTACATGATCCCAGTTACAATTTCCAAGCGAGGAAACCCCAAAACCCTCCCAGACTCTTAAGTGCATCTTTAACGTAAACAAAAAGAAGGAAATACAATCTTCCTTCCGCTTCAGAGCTTCAAAAACTATTATATTTTGAAAAGCAAGCAACAGTTTTCCAAAACCCAAATTCCCCAAATGCTCATGATAAACTGTGGGACTGTCTCAGCTCACCAAGGTTTCAGGGCAACTGCAGACAAGCATGGTACAGAACTGGCAGTCTGTGTGTTTCTATGTATTCTGTACAAACACTGCAGCCCATGAGCTCATTCACACCTCCTTGACTACTTGCCTACTTGGCTTGAGGCACCTGCACAAGGACAACTGAATGTAATATGTTACTGAGTCAAAAACAAGCAAAAAAAATAAATAAATAAATTACACCAGTTTTTACAGAGACAAAGGGCAAAGTATTGGTCACCCCGTCTTCAGTTGTTGCTGGCTTGTCCATTCCCTGGGCAGGTGCCTGATTCATAGCAACCAGCTATGTTGGCTCCAAGAATCACTTCATTGACCATCACTTGCTGCTTCACAGAACTCATAGCATTCATCAGAGCCAGGTCTCACTGACCTCATTGTGCTAGCCATATCCATGCAGCAAATGCCCACGTGTGCTCCCTCTGTACCAGGCACTGTGCTAGGCCCAGAATAACAGAAACATTCCTTGTTATCAAAGGGTTATATTCAGGTCACTACTTGTCCCAAGCTAAAAGATCAAACTCAATTTCAGCTTGAACTGCCAGAATGTTTGATTTTTTTTTTCATATGAATATCACAAGGCTCCCCCCAACTACACTAGAGATGGGCACTGGCCCTCCTGCCCATGGGAAAGCCAGCATTACAGAAGAGTCTCTGAGAACACTGTAGTTGACACCACTTTGATTTTCATATCTTGATGAGTTCATAAAAGCCCTGAAGGAGGCAAAGTCTTTGGGCCAAAGAGCAGCCCTTTGAAAATGCTTTGCCTGACACCAAATCCATATTCAACTCTTGTGTCTCATTTGTCCCTCCATCTCTACCCTCACTAACGTTTGCTTTTACCTGGATGAACAAGAGTGTTTCTCATCTCTGCTTTCAGCACAACTCTGCCTTGTAATTTATTCTCCATAATGAAGCCACAGTGATTTTTTTTATTGTTTTATTCATATGTGCATACAATGCTTGGGTCATTTCTCCCCCCTGCCCTCACCCCATCCCTTACCACCCACTCCGCCCCCTCCCTCTACCCCCCACCCCCCAATACCCAGCAGAAACTATTTTGCCCTTATCTCTAATTTTGTTGAAGAGAGAGTACAAGCAACAATAGGAAGGAACAAGGGTTTTTGCTGGTTGAGATAAGGGTAGCTATACAGGGAGTTGACTTACATTACTTTCCTGTGCATGGGTGTTACCTTCTAGGTTAATTCTTTTTGATCTAACCTTTTCTCTAGTTCCTGGTCCCCTTCTCCTATTGGCCTCAGTTGCTTTTAAGGTATCTGCTTTAGTTTCTCTGTGTTGAGGGCAACAAATGCTAGCTAATTTTTTAGGAGCCACAGTAATCTTTAACACCAAAATCAAGATGGCTTTCCTGGCTTCCAAGAACAGAGCCCAGAGGCCTATGGAGTACTTTGTGCTCTGTCTTCTACTCACTTTTCTTGCCTCTGCTGATGCTACTCTTATTTCCTACACCTCAGCTACATCTTCTTTCTGTTGCTTTTACACACTGTGATTTTCCCAGCTCAGTGCCTTTGCATCCAGAGGATGTACCTCATAATCTTTTCACTGCTGGCTCCTTCTCCTATTTTAGGTCTCACTTCACAAGACTCCTCTACAGAGAGGCTGTTCCTTCACTACCCATCCAAAGTAGTATGTACCCCCTTTCTGGTAGTACTTTATCTTCAGAACATTCATCATTATCTGAATTTATCCCTCTCTTTTAAACTTATTTTGCTTATCTTCTTTTTAAAAATATCTGTGCAGAATATAAATACCATTCCTAACTCTCTTGTTCATAGCTGGATCTCCAGTGGGATATCTGTGAAATGAATATGTGCACACTTTAAGGGCCTGTCTTATTGTTAAGGAGTCCACCCCAAAGCATCAACTCCATTCAAATTCATACATTCTATGTTACAACTCGATCTAAAATGTGGGGGATTTGGATATACTTTTTCAATTTAGTTTCTTTTTTCTGTTTCAGTCCTCTCTAATAAATAGTGACATTATCTTTGTGAAGTTGCATGCCCCATGGGAAGTCCTTGGAAGATACGCAGAACAAATGAATGTAAGGATGCCTTTCAGGTAAGTGTAAATGTATTTTTCCCCACTGTCTCTGCTGCTCCCTTGTAAACCTAATGTTCTCCCCTCAAAGCAAATAAAACTGAAATGCAGATTACAAAAGCTATTAGAGGAGAAAATTCTTCAAGTATTTAGGAAAACTAATAAGTCTTCATGACCAATAATGATTTCATGGCTTTTTGTGACAATCTCTGGCTAATTCTGTCCTTACCAGGCAGCAATTTCAAGCACCTGTGACACAGAAGCATTTTCCAAGTTGCATTTTCATTGCTAAAGAGCCATTTCTAGAAGTCTTCTGTAATGCTGCTTTGAACAGTGAGACCCAGGAGATCACGCTCCTTAATAACCAGTACCTTCCAGAGAAACATTAAAACCTGCTTCCCAAGAAACAAGTTCAAGAAATGTCATGCAAATGTGAACTATTTTTTAAATCACTTATTTTTAAATTTAAAAAGTCATAAACAGTGTGCAAACATAAATATCGGTATTTGTTCCAAGGAGACTAGAAAACACTTTGTGTGGATTGCTGAGTTTCTTAAAAGGTTTGATTTTCCTTTGTCTCGCAGTGAATATTCTTCTTTGCCCTGTGGATTAAGGAAATGTGATCTTCATTTGCTAGATAGAAATAAAGTATTAACCCTGAAATTACAAATGCCAAGATTTGGAGGGGTCCATAAAGGAACTTGCTAAAGTGGGCGGGAGAATTCAGCACCAAGAACAGTTCCAAAAGGAACTGAGTTAAGTACTTTGGGTTTTCAATTTGCAGGTCAAATCAAGTCAGATGACAGGATTTAGGCAAGAGGGTATAAATTCTCTAATATACCTCTTCATGGACTGTGGAAAGTTATAGAGACAGATAACCAGCTACCTTCATAGAGACAGAGACAGAGACCAGGGACATATTAGAATGGAAATTTCCATTCATAACCCTGTGGTAGATCTCCCAGGCGATCTTATTTCCTTTGCTTATTGGTCTTTATGTCCTAATACCAAGTCAGAACAGAGGCTGGGATTTCTAGCATCTGTTTTCCTAGAGGCAAAATTCTCAAAATAGATAAATACATAGCTAAATAAATACATGGCTTTGATCTTGTGATTTGTTTTTGTGTTTAAGATGTTGAAAGGGAGCTCTGAGGACTCAAGGATTTATATATATATTTATATATATACATATTCACTAGGAGAGAAAGTCAAGTCAGTTTTCATTGAAAACTGCTATACAATAATAATTAAAGCAAGTTATTAGACAATGGTGTAGTAACTATGTAAATGAATTAATACCACATTATACCTAAGAACCAAAAGGGAAATAAACCACTACAAAAATATGCTTGGGTAGAAATTGAGAGCCCTTTCCCAGTGTAAATCTCACAAAACCTTCTACCAAAATACCCTTCTGAAATAAAGATTCCAAGGAGAATGAAAATTCGAGCAATGTTAATGCAAGGTTGCCTTAATATTCACAAGGATTCCATCTGCAGGGCCTGGCTGCATCATAGCAAGTATTTCTGCATGCCCACTGCCCACTGTGTAGCAGAAAAGTGCTGCCCCAAGCACCATTAGTACCTTTCTCACACGGCATTAAGAGAATGAGATCCAAGCAATAAGATGAAAATGAATGTGAATAATAATCTTCTTTCAGATGTAGAAATTCCTGCAGGACAATGATTTTAGGAGAAAATACTGTTAATGTGAGACATTAATTGGCCTCATTAATATTGCTGTGATTTTTCCTAAGCATAGATTCACTTGTTACAGCTTGATGCATTTAAAGTTTATATTATTATCTGGTTCTCAGTTTCAGACATGCAACTCTAGCCTAAGGAGATGCATGAGTTTCCCAAGGAGGAATTCTCCCACCATATCATTTCAACAAAATGTTATGAACAGCAATTGGACTACATTTAAATGTCCCAAAGAGTCTTACCTGTATTTATTTTCTGTAGACTGCACTTCTGAGTGTCATGATTAGTTTTCTTGGATATTTAACCATACAATGCTTAAAAGGAAATTAAAGAATAGGTTTCTTATAGGAAGGGGACAATAAAACCTGCTTCTTAAATACCTATATGTCCATAAATTTATTTTTAAATTAAGGCTTCATTTTTAGAGAATTTTTGGCTTTACAAAAAAATTCAGCATATAGTTCATAACATTCCTCCACACACCCCCTCACAGTTTCCTTATTAACATCTTTTTCATTAGTATGGCTTATATGTTCAATTGGTGGACCAATATTGATACATTACTATTAACTAAAGTTTATAGCTTTCCCTCACGCCATGTCATTCTATGGGTTTTGACAAGTGCATATCACCGTGTAGTTCTCATTATAGAATCATAAAGACTATGATGTCCTAAAAATCCCCCAGGCTTCACCTATTCATTCCTTCACCAAAGCCCAAGCCCTTGGTAACTATGGCTCTTTTTATTGTCTCTCTGCATATTGTCACAAATATGCCAAATATGTTTGTGACATAAAAATTTCCCATTTTCCAAAAGTGAGATAGCTCAGTAACAGTTCAGAATACAGATGAACCGCATCAGTTTCCTTGCTGCTCCATTGGCAGAAGCCTAAAATATGGAAAGGAGGTTACATTTTAATAAAGCACTGAATACACATAACTCAAACTATACCCAGAATTTTCATGTTAAATATTTAAAAATGTAAATATGCAGCAATGTAACTGAATCATATTAAATCTGATTTTTAAATATTTTTTCTAGGAACTCTTGGTCTGTCTTACCTTCATCTAAACCCAGTGGTTAGGCAGTATGCCCCAGTGTGGATATTGACGCTGAGAAGTTAGTGTCTTTCTGACTGGTCATGAGATATATAGTTTTATATTGCTCCTGTCTAAAGCATAAGAAAAGTGTTCTATAAACTTAAAGTACTATATAATTATTATTTTTACATAACACTGTGCCCACTAAATTATGTATGTTACCTCCTAATTCATCTCTGTAAAAAATCATAGTCCTAAGGAGAAGAAGAAGTAGCAATGGAAACTGTTTCTTAAGATTTCATGACTCAAAAGTGTATGCCCTGTTTTCCTACTACATTTCTCACTGTTAATCTCTTTTTAGTTTTTTCTTCTTCACCTCTTACAGGCTTCTATCTTCAATCTCCTTTCCTTCCTTGCTAGTTCAAACTGTAACTGACGATGGGTTTTCTTCTCGACTGGCTTCATTTTTGCTGTTCTTCCAGGAGAAAAATCTATTACCTGCCCCGCCGGTACAAGTTCATGAGCAGGTTAGTAGCACGCTATGTCATGATGGTGTCTGTCTGCTGGCCTGTGTACTCCAACAATGACAAGTAGCTATAAGCCTGGGAAGATGTCATATAGGAAAATGACTGCTATGTACATCCAAAATTAGCTGTTTGGGGTTAGCCTGAAACAAATCAGAGACAAAAATGTTCCTCTCAGAGTCTTCCCTGTGACACCTTCACACTCGAGAGGATGGTGTTTATCTGCAGGTGTGTAGAGGATGTTGTTCTTTTAGCCTCGTTTATTAGATCAATTACCCCAAATCCCAATCATTCAGAACATCTTTAGCCTGGAAGTTATTTTTTTTCATACAAATTCTTCCATCTACTATATGTAACTTGAAACCTTGAAGTACACATGGTCACCCTCTCAAAAAGTTGATGGGTACTCAAGCACACACACACACACACACCCTTAGGCAGGGCCCTCCTGTGTTACTAACACTTTGTAAATAAAATATACAGATGTATGGCCTTACTCAGGAGCTCTTTCAACCTTCTTTACAAAAAAAATCCAAGTGGATTAAGATTTCATTTGCTATATTTTAAATCCTTCCAAAGTTTTTTCTTACTGTTTAATGAGAAGCCAAGGAGAAAGGGAACTCATGACTGATGTCCCTAATTAATTCCATGTGGTCATTGTTGAATCTAATTTCAAAATCTCAATTGGTCTTTTACCATTCAGCATGAGCTGAGTTAATGGGTTAACTTGAGGTCCACTGAGTTTCTCTGAAAATTTCATAGTTCAGTTCTGTGAGATTTAGGATTAAGGTCACTGGGTTTGTATGCTATGTAGAGTGGTAAGTAAAAGAGCAATCGATACATTTTGGTGGATTTTCTCAAGTGTATATGCACTCAACAAAATATGGTGAGAGAACTAAGATGTTATGGTTTCTCAGTTTCCCTCTGCAGCACACTTAGTTAGAAGTTCTTCTACCGTTAGGTGGTAGATATGGCATTTGTATTCACTATGATTTAGATTAGTCCCTTATCACACCTTGGTCTTCTATAAATGCCTAGTATAACCGTAGCCTGTGTCAGTAGTCCTCAAACTTTATCCAGCATCAGAATCACCTGGAGAGTTGTTAAAACACATATTTCTATGTCCCACCCCAGAGTTTTTGTTTCAGTAGGTCTGTGATAGGGCTGGAGAATTTCCATTTCTAACAGGTTCTTAGCTGAGGCCAATGCTTCTGGTCCTGGGACTATAATTTGAAAACTACCAATCTGCATGACATATCAATCTCTACCTTCCTGTTAAATTAAGGATTTGATAAATGATAACCAAAGTCCGATGATAACCAAAGTCAGATAGATTTTTCATTTGGAAATGAAAACCAAAGTCAGATAGAGCTTTGATGGCATAGTAGTAATATCAAGTCTGCACATGATATTGCTTCGATCTGTTTGAATAAAATATATTCTGAGTTCAAAAAGGTATGGACTATGAGGCTTACCTTTGTCCAAATTTTCCAAGGAGCCTTTATTTAGTAAAGTCAATGTATGTGTTATATTTTTATCATAAAGCCCACGTTGGCACTGGACGCTTGGGGTACGTTAATTCATACCTCTGAGTCTAAGTTTCCACATTCATAAAATGAAGTTGTCAGTTTCTACCCTGTGGGGTTGATGCAAGGTTTAGTAACTAGTATGCATCTCATGCGGGATATTTGTGAGAATAACCTTATGTCCACGCACACCTCCCATTCCCTTTTACTTTCTGAACGTTTAGCCAGCTCCTCTGTCTCTCCTTTATTATTTCATCTGATGACTAGTCCACTAGCTCCTGGAAAGTTTTTATTAGTCATTTATACTCCAGATAATCTCCATTTATATTCTCTAGACAGGCTTTGGCTTCACTATTTGTACAATCATGAAACTTAAACCTCAGGATCACTATGGTGTTGTACCCTATCATCTAGTCAACCTTTTGAGTTATACAGATGCTGTCTCATTGAAATTTGTAGAATTCATTCAGTGCTCTTCATTTCCACTGCCATTGCCATAGCTGGACTCTCTTTACCTCTTGCCTATTTTATAACAATTTATTTTTCTGCCTCTGTTCTAACCCCTTGCAAATGTTTTTCTCATCATTTTCTTAAATAGCAAAATCTTCTGGCCACTACACAGTGATCAAAATGAAGTTAAAAGACTCAGCTTAAGCCCAGCCCTTGATAAACTATCAAGCCCACCATTGTTGGCTCCATCCACTCACGGTTCCCAAATATGTTATGCTCACTTGGGAGTATGTATCTTGCATATAATTGTTCTTCTGGGTGTTCCATTTCTAACTTGTTCACCAAGGTGACACCTACTCAGTCCTCAAACCTCAGTCCACGTGGTTGGGCTTTTTACCCAGGTTAAATGATGCCTCTTTCTGTTCTCCATGGCACCCTATGACACCATCACCCCTTGTTGTAATCTATGGTATAGATGCATATCTTCCTACCAGGACAGTGTTTAAAAGCAAGGAAAGCACATCCTAATCTATATTTTCAGCACATAGCACATAATAGATGGGATAAATGAATTAACAAATGAATAGCCACACATACATGAGGACAGGAGTGGGAAAAAAGGAAGTCACAAAGGAAGGAAGCATAGAAAACCCAGGTCTGTGTAAAGTGTCAGGCATAGACTTTGGACTGAAACATTTGCTCCAGCAATGGGGAAGAGATGGGTAATGAGAACTAGAAAGAAATGATGATTAAAGGAAACACAGAATCTCAAGATTGGATGAGATCTCAATGCCAGCAAGTCCAACCATTCACTAAATACTCAAATTGGGTTTCAGTCAGTCCATATGCCTAAATATAGCAGCATCTCTAACCCATTTGCAGCTCTGATGATTAGAAAATTCTTCCTTAAAATAAGTCACAATCCCTCTTTCTCTTTAACTTTCATTCTTTGATCATGGTTCTTCCTCCTGGATAGACAAAAAAAAATCTACAGGTCAAAGGTAAAGTATGTTAGATTGTGAAAGTATAAGAGGATTTAGTACTTCTTGGGTGTTTGGAAATTGAGAGTTGAGGAGAAGGAGGGTTTTCACTGCCAAAGAATTATAAAACTGTTGTTGGATATAAAAGAAGAATGCAAATCCAGCGGAGACAGAGGTGTGATTGATGAGAAAAGGTGGTTATTTTCTTTTAGTAATTCTGCATTGTAATTCATACCAGGTCTTTGAGGTGTCATTGTAGTAGTGGCCTTTGGAATTGATGGCAAAACAGCCAGCATGAGAAGTAAAGCTAGAGAACCCATAGAAGTCATGACCTTAACCAGGGACGTGTATGTGATTTTCCAGGAAAGGATGTAAAGAATGAAGAGAGAGGGACAGTGGCCTTGGAAAATCTGTTCTGCAGGGACCAGAGGAGATGGGAGGTGGATAAAAAGTAACAATTCGAAAACAGAAGGAGAATGAAGTGTGGGTGGTGTCAAAAGCAGTAGGAATGAGTTTCCATAGGAATGTGCGTTCTTTAGCTTCTCATGAATGATGAGAGTTTAGAATCTATTTGGGATAGTCAGAAGTCATTGCTAATCTCCATGACAGCAGTCTCCACGGAATGGTGGTTCTCAAATATGCATCAGGATCTGTGTTTTAAACACAGCCATTGGGTCTATCTCCAGGGTTTCTGATTCAATAAATTTAAAGTGTTGGTTGACAAGTTGTAATTCTATCGATATCGCAAGTTATGCAGATGCTAATCCCTCTAGTTCAGGACCACATTTTGAATCATGACCATAGAATGGAAGGTATTAAAAACTATGACTGTTAGTGGAGGAAGGATAAAGTCTGGATGAATCAGAGGTAATGAGAGTTTATTGCAACCTTGAAGTTTTTTATAATAGAAGAAGAAGAGGGGACAAGACTTAGAACAGGACTCAATGGGAAGGAAGCAGAGAAGACCATGAACACAAGACCAGTCACATTCTTCATGTGTGCAGAGGAGAAGTTTTGATTAAGAGCTTGTGAAATCTGGTTTCTAGAGCTGGAAGAACAGTTTAGCAAACACTAATCTTTAGCTCAGTGATGCTCGCTCAAGTGTACAAATCACAATCATGGAAGATCTTAGGCATTGGAAGGCTCTGAGCCAAAATAAAGGAAAAAGAAATCCAATTATATGGTACAACACATTGATTCATAATTACCTCATAAAATAGTTCCCCTCATTGTCTACCATGTAGCATTTAGTTTTGGACTCCTCTGGAGTGATGTGACCTTCTGAAGCCCAATGTCTAGTGTAAATTTTTAAATACAGTTAACTACAAAATGTTATATCTATTTTAACTCTGTGTTTCATCTCAGAACACATTTATTCAGATAATAAAGAGCCTCAACTTCTGTGCAGCCAGCCCTGATACTCAAGTTAAAGAGCACATTTTTGACTTATGCACTTGATTGTGCCCCAGTAATGAAACACTTGACTTCTGGTATTCTGAAATTCTCCTGTCATACTGAATATGGATATTTAATTTAGCTTTTAATTTCATCTATTAGATAATATTTAATTTCATTAATACATGAAAGCCAACCCCCAAGCAAACAGATCTCCTTTAAGGATAAGATAAATTAATAAAAGTTTCTAAAGTTTATGAGTAGGCAGAAAAATAAAACATCTTTTCATTAATATCTTTATTCAAAAAGCTGCCCAACTCACATAAAGCACACTCATGTAGTTGTAATTCATATTTTTGGAATACATGCTCACTTTATCTGTGAATTTGGTCTATTAAACACTGCTTGGACTCTTATCTTTGGATAGGCTTATTATGAATTACCTGTCCAATAAAGAAGGAGAATTTGCCATCTTTCTTCTGCCTTTATTTTTTGCCATCACAAAATAGTACAAAAATAGTCTATAGAAGATATGATTAAAAAGTAACAAATTTGATTATCATGGGTGGCTTACAGTTGAAATCTCATTACTACAAATTCCTTTTCTCTCTACTGCACTGTAGGCATTCTGCCTGACTTTATCCTTTGTGAT